ATGACTTTCAAAATTCCTTACGTATATGATTATATAACAAAATTATACTGGCAACAATCGGAAGTCATACAAAATCATGATAGCGAAAATGTTCGCGATATTGGGCAAGCAGAAGCCCTACATAGAAAGTATAAGAGGCTTAAACTTGGTGGCGGTCAAGCATACGACCGTTCAAGTGACTAGACTACCGTTGTAGCGGAAGCTCCTTGAAATAGGGCATAATCTGCTGTACTGAGCCTGGACTGACAGAGGTCCTGTATATATTTAAATACATTTATTAACATTTTTAACATGTAAAATATAAATATCCTTTACATTACGACAAATGACTTAACACTATAGAGTATGACTCTGACAAGAGACAGACCCGTGCTCTCGTCAGAGAGGGCGCCCCACAAAAACAAGGCCGAAATTGTCAAGCAGTAATAAATGTCTGATCATAAGCCCCAGATTGGGCTCGACACCGTGACTGACTGACTGACTGACCGTAAGTCGCAATGTGACTTTAACTTTGACTAAGTCAGTTCTGATCCGACGAGAGGACAGTTTAGATTCGATGAGAGCAGCTTCGACGTGAGCTAAGAAGAAAGTTCTGATCCAACGAGAGCTAAGGATAGTTCAGATTCAACGAGCGATGCGAGAAGAACGAAGAACGAAGACACCCCACCGAGAATAGCGGTGTAAGAGTGCATAACAGTTAAAGAGGAAACGTTTCAGATCGTTATAAGTGAAAGTGTTTATAATTTTTAGTGTAAACAAACAATTGTCCAATAAACATATTCGTCTAATCCGAGACCCACATAAATTTCTTGCCGCGTTACTTAGGAAACACGTGACAATGTCTATTCCACTACAACAGCCGCCTCAAACATGCGGCCTCCATAGCCACAAAGTGCGGCCCCTCAACTTTTAGAGCTAATTGATATTAAAATCAATATTAAAATTTTAGTAGAAATATTTTTTGTAAAGACAATTTTCCAACAGACCCAAAGACAAGAAGTCTTACGCAGACATAAATTAGCAGGATGCAGGAAATTCAATATTTGCTATTTCTAACATAACTTCTTGTGTAATCTCTCTGTTTACATATTGAAAAGCTGTTTGATACTTGTCAAAAATGGTATTCTCTTGCTTTTTAGAACTGTAAGATATGTGACTTTAGGTAATTTTATTGAATTCCTAAACGATAAATAGAATTAAATTTCCTTGTATCAAAATCTAATGTATATTTCTATTTTGAAGTGCGGCCCTGGACTCTTATTTATAGGGCTGAGGTGGCCCTCTGTACAAGTTGAGTTTGACATGCCTGCACTACAAGTTTCGATTTTACGGAAGTAAATTCTATAGAGACTGCGACTGTCTACAATAGCTCAATAGACGCTACCTGGTGTTGAATTCATCACCAAATTTTACAGTGTTAAAATGTGTGGTTGTGTATATAATTTAACAAATAAATAAATAACTTACAGAAGAATATTCTGAGATAATAGAATATGCAATGAAAGAAAACAAAAACAATAAAAATACTCCATATCATCTGCACGTAGGATATAAATTGTAAACATTTAAACAAATGTTTTTCAGTTAACTAAAAATCTCTCAAAAATAAATGGCGAAGGTTCTGAAGTCGATGGCTGCATCGTGGTTTAAGAGCTGTCGATTATTTTTTATGTGTCTTAAATCTATATTGTGGTGTTTGTCAGTATTCCCTTCTTAACTCCTAGGGCTTTCTTGGATTCTTACTTGGTCGGCCGCTGTTGTTATATTCTTGTTGAATGAGATAAATAAGCGGAGTATACTTGGATTATAGATGCGTTTGAAACTAGAAATATTTAATTGAAGACAGAAGAATATAGATATAGTATATTGAAATCTACTATCCCTTCGGTTTGCATTTTTGTTTCTAATGTTGAAGGGATGCATCGTGTTGCCAGAACATGAGATTAGGATGAAGTATGTACTGCTAATGTTTAGCGAAGAGCATGTGAAGAGAGTGAGCGGAGCAGTACTGTGCAAAGTAGGTGGGTGTCTTCAAGCTTATATCAAATATGGGGTCGTTAGTACTGGTGTATGATCATTTAAGTGAATGTCTTTGTGGGAGCCAACCTCGCCGATCAGCGCGGATCACGGCAGTTCCAACGGTTCCAACGCCCATTGGTTCGCGCGCCGTTAGCGACAACGTACCTCCGACACGCTAGTCGTTAATCACAGTCTAGGAATCATCAGATACTAATCAACGGCTCGGTAAACACGTTCCAGTGGAGATAGGTTCTTGGAAACAAGCCATCGCTGGGTGATAAACGGACGTTTCCTTTGATGCGAAATTGAAAGATGTTTTCTCTGGCGGTCCGTCCCGACGTTATACAACAGGAAACCCAGATCTGTGGAGACAGGGTCTAATATTTCCACCGTGACCCTGCGAGTCGTAAGAGGCGACGAAAAGAGAAATCTTAAATCTGAGAATGTAAAATATGGTCGCGAGTACCAAGGGACTCGGACCCGAGAAAGACTACGCTGGCGAGGACCAGCAGCATAGACAAAAGACAGACCCGTCCTCTCGTCAGAGAGCGCGCCCCATGAAAAACAAGACCGTAACTGTCAAATAGTAATGAATATCTGACCATGATCCCCAGATGGGGCTCGACACCAAGAATTACTGACTGTCTGACCGTCAGTCGCAATGTGACTTTGACTTTGACTTGAGCCGGAATTGTCCACAACCGGCAAACTATTCGAAAAGTTGTTCTGAATATAGTCCAAAAGCACATTGAAGAAAGAAGCTTGCTTAACGCAAGCCAGTTTGGTTTCCGTGCACGTCACAACACGACACTGCAATGTATGAGGCTAACGGACCACGTGGCCCTTAATTTCAACAATAATATAGCCGCTCTTCTCTTCGTGCCCTCGATGACGTAGCTCGGCTGTAGCCGTTGCACTTCACGTGGTTTTTAAACCACGTCGAAGTTCCGAGAATAGCTTGAGGGCAAGCAAAGGGAACAATGTTCAGAGTGTAAGATCCCCTTCAGTGCTTAACGGCCTTTCTGCGATGAGAGAAGGTTTACTGAAGAAGTTACTGGATCACACTTTGCTGATGAAACTGTTGAACTTGATTTATTGTCTGCAACACTACACGATTTTACAAATAAGTCAGTTTAGGTCGTGGATACAACTGCTCTTGTATATGCTGAACATTATGAGTACACATTCAATGATACAATGATCAGCTCAATCTGAAATCAGCTTTAAATACCTGGAATGAGGTAATATTCCAGAACTTTCCGCATCGAGATTTAACTTGAAGCTTCCACACTGTTCTACAGATTGAGAATGTTATGGAAGTTTCTATAATTGGGCCGGTGCAAGGAGATAAAGGATTCATATACCGCACCCGCTATCAAAGATCTTTCTAGTAGCTCTTATCTAAGCATTCCTCTCCACAAATTCTCAGAATAGTTACAGCAAAAGTGGGTATAAGTCACCTTTAGTACAAGATTGGTTTTAAGTCCTGAGTATTAATATTTAAGAATTAGGTCAGCAGGTAATGATTGGTTACAATAATACGTGTATGTCTAGGCCATGGTGTTCTTGGACATCGAAGAGGCCTTTGATACGACATGACACTGACTTGCTATATAAGTTACGTAAACTGGAATTTTCAACCAATTTGATATTTTATTATTTTGGCCACATTATTATGTTTAGTATTGAATTTGGAAACATGAGCATGTTTCAGATCATGAGGTTTGTCAGAGTTCTGTAATTATTTTATTGCTTTTCATATGTTATTAAATGCAATCTTAATCTTGTTAACAAGAGTGTGTATCAGATTCTTGAGTTTCATTATACTACTGAAATAAATAACAAATGGAAACCTCAGTATTATTACTCCCTATACATGATTTATAACACATTAATGTATCTGAAATGCTATGTTCTGTGTAGCTTTCAAATGTAAGTTGTAAGCAAAGTTATGAAGTTGAATGCAAGTATCTCTTGATGGAAACAGAATTTTCTTTCAAGTTTACCCACCATCAGCTTTCCTAAACACAAGTATTCTATATATGTAGTTCAAGTGTCCATTGTATTTCAGTAAGGGGGTGTCGAATTGATGTAAATGAAATGTTTATACATTACAGGCACTGGTGAGAAGCTTTCTCCCGATAAATAATGTTGCAACCTGATCTCTTGTACTGCAAAGGTGCTTACTCCGTTGTGTGCTTTCTGTTTTCGAACTGAGTTTGATATCACTTAGCTCATGCCATCCAGAAGATTTTGAGCGAAGTCATATGAAACTCAAATAAGATCTAAAAGTTTGTGACGATGGTATATTGCTACAAGTATTGTATTTTTGGACATTATCCATCGTCTTGTCTATTTTTTGAAAAACCTTCCTGTTTCTTTTTCAGAACACAACATTTCGGAGACTGGATTCTGAAAAAGAAACAGGATGGTTTTTTAAAATTAGACAAGACGATGGATAATGTGCAAAACATAATACTTGTAGCATATGAAACTCACTTTGAAAAAAAAACACTCAATGGGATAAGAACCTCTGCAGTACAAGAGGCCAGGGTTGCAAATTACTTGTAGCTTTTCATGTGAATTAGTGGTTCTTTGGGAGGGAGCAGTCCAGAAAGGCTGGTGGTACGATAGCATACTTTCTTACCGACAGGGCAGGTGGTATGATAGCATACCCTCTTACCGACCTAGCTCTCGGCACTGGCGGCAGCCATTTTGTATCAATAGAGTATCCTCCAGACTCCAGACACTGCGGCAGCAGTGATGCTTTGATGACGTCACGGCAGCCTACTGCTCTGTGGTCGACATTGTGCAGGTTGTACAGCAATGAGCTAATTAGCAAGCGATAGTAACGAATAGTAATTCCAGTGGCTAGCCACTTAGGAACCGTGGAGACGGTGGAGAGTCACTGTAGGCTGTTACGCTTTGCACAGCGGTGGCCGTAAGAGAGCACGTCACATTACGAGATGGCGAATGGCGTGACGTTTCAAGTGAACCTCATGCTAATTATCTTCAGCTCTCTCGACAAGAGAGCAGCACGGGTTGCCGTGTTGTCAGAAACGATAAAAACGTACATTTTTGGGAGATGTGATTGGAGGGTTGCGTTTGTTTGAAGTGTGGTTGTCATTCTTGAGGGTGTTATGCATAGAAAACGAGAAAAGGATGGAAAAAGCAAGTAAAGCCCTTAGAAGGTATGGTTTAATTATACGTTTATATTCGAAGGTCAGGTATTTACCTCATGACCGTTGGTGACTGTGTTAGAAACTGGGGAAGTAGGCAAATTTGGTTATGCGTGCACAAACGTTTGGAGGAGCGGTCTGTAGATGTATTAACGTTATCATGAAAACAGAATCACGAAATTCTCTTGGTAATTTAGTCATTGAATCAGATATATCTTAATATGTACAACTTCCAAATTCCTTGAAAGAATACCTGTGATTTTTATTGTAACACTCCATTTTTCGGATAGCGTCTTCAGGTGACATGCATTAAAACAGATCTTCCAGGTCACTTGCATTAATACGTATTTTATTTCATGAAACTAAAGAATCTCAGCAAACATCTCATTCTGGTCAGTGACTTTTAGTGGCAAAACATTCAGTGTTCAGCATGTTCAGTGAAGTTATAAAATGCAGTTTTGACTTCTGAGCAGCGCAGTAATGCCAAACACTTCTAAAATTAGAGTGTATGAAGCTTGTAGAAGTACTGGGTAATGTTGCAGAAACAGTGCTAGAGATTTTGGACAGCTCAGTGACTGCCTCTGCTGTGTTTATGGACCCATCAGAATTGCTGTAATCAAATACTTTAGTTCTTTTAGTACATCAGTATATAACTGTGATTTAGCTTTCCAGAATCTTCAATATTTTCTTTTTTATCATCACCACCATCACCATCATCATGTACAAGATCTGACAATAAAGTTCGCGAACTCGCCCCAGTGTACTTATCGTGGCAGCAGTGGACAGAAACCTCAGTATGGTTTGATGACATTTGCATATCAGCATTTCACAGTTGTGTTGTTGTGGATCTATTGCAGTTTCTTTCTGAGTGGCATCTATTATTCTCTGTGTGTATTTTGGTATGTCGTTGCGAGAATGTCGGAGCTTGAATTAGAGCGACAGATGAATGTTTCTTGTTAAACTTGCCAAGATGTTAGTTCAAGTTTACACGGATAATGATATGAAGAAAATGGCAGTTTACAAGTGGGTGACACATTTTCCTGATGGAAAAGAAAGTGGCACTGGCAAAGAGCAGAACTGAATTAAAAATTTCAAAAGTTTGTCAAATTATGCATGAAAATCATCAGCTGACCATCAGGAGCATAGCAGAGGAAGTGAACATTGACAGAGAAACAGTTAGGAAAATCTTAACTGAAATTTTTGACATGAGGCAGATGTATGCACAAAGGACCTGCTCACCTGGCACTGTCTCTGAGAGAGTTTTTAGCTAGTAAACAAATAACTGTTCTGGAACATCTTCCCTGTTCACTGGATCTAGCCCCCAGTGACTTTTTCTGTTCCTGAAGATAAAGGAAATATTGAAAGGAATACTTTTTAATGACATTGATGACATCAGGAGTAATACTCTGAAGGCCATTCCACAAAACCAGTTCCAAAATTGTTTTGAAGGTGACCACAGTGATATTCAGCAATGAGGTATGTAGTACTTCTATTGCGATGAGTTCGCGAACTTTATTTTCAGACTACCTGTGTGCTTGCTATACAGTTTGCCTGCTGTTTAATGATCCATTTTGCCAGCATTCAGCACTGTCCAGTTTGAAACAGCACTGGCTGAAAGCTGTGGTCAGTACTGTCTGCCTCAAAGCAGCATTGACTGACAGTTGTGTGTTAAACAAGCTTTTTGCCAGTTGAATAATTTATTTATGAGCACTGTTCCATTAGACATGTTGATATGTGCTCTGAATGCTGCAAGCTTGCAGCAATTGGAGTTAAGGATTTTCCAACAGTGCTGCATTATTCTGCCAAAGCTGGGGCTTGCTATAACATGTGCAGGTGAGCCCAGGGGTCATTGAATCATTGAGTTGTTATAGTATGTGCTTTCACTAGGAGCCCCCATTATACATTTCATTATGTCATGTGAAAATAGATTCAAATATATGAACTCTTTCATATAATTATATATCTTTGTCCAGTTTCCTACCAGTTTCCCTGAGTTAGAGTCCACATGCTTCTAAAATTCAGTGAATTCAAGTTCATAATCCTTATAGCATTGGAGATTTTGAAACAACCCAAACTTTTTTTTTTCCTGAATCAAAGCTTAATCTTAAGTGAGGTTTCAAATGCCAAGCTGCACTCTGAACATTTCGCCTACTTTGCTCCATTAATTATGCTGCAGTTTGTTACTTTGGACATTATTTATTATCTGAACTAGAAGCAATGTGACACCTCTGAAGGCTAGCTGTATGTCTTCAGGTTAAAGAAAGGATGCATACTGTTTGTTGCCTTTTACATGAAGTTGTCCCTCAACACTGGGCCAAGTGATATGCACTGACATTATCCAGCAGCCTCACAGGCCCTGTGATCATCTAATTGGCTCCAGTTTATGAGGGTTGGAACTTTAATAGTGGCAACTATTTATTTACAACTGGTACAAAGTAGATGCATGTTTTGAAGTTTTACTGTCCTTCAGTGTAGTCACCAGCATTGTGTACAACCCATTGCCAGCAATGTGGAAGTCGTAGGATACCTTTAGCAGCGCATGTTGTGTTGATAGTTTGAATGGAGCGGTCTACTGCCTGAGGAATCTCTGGAACAGTTCTGAAGCAAATGCCACGAAGTGGTTCTTTCATCTTAGGAATGAAGTCAAAGTCACAAGGGCTTAAGTCCGGGAAGTATGGTGGATGGTACAGCACTTCCTAGTCCCATCGATCAAACAAATCAACCACAGCTTGTCATTTCTGCATTTCCGTCAAATCATGTGGAATCCATCGTGATGCAATTTTTCTCATGCCCAGGTGTTCCTTCAGAATGTGAAGCACAGTCATATGCGCTAATCCTGTCTCTTGGGCCAGCTCAAAAATCGTATGGCATCGATCACTCTCCAGTAACGTGGAAAGAGCATACACTTCTTCTTCACTGACACTAGGACAACCGGGCCGACGCCTGTCTGCCACATTTTGGCGTCCCTCATTGAAGGCTTTTACCTGCCTTGCCACTGTTCTGTAAGGCAATGCAGATTCCCCACAAGCCTCTTGAAGACCTTGATGACACTGTTGTGCTGTATGGCCTCTGGCACATTCAATCTTTATCCAACTCCGTTGTTCCTGTTTCGAAAACATCGTGACAACACTACATTAGACCGCCAGCTAACATGAGGCTCTGTTCTTCTTGTCACTGCGCATGCGCGTGATGTGGGAAGAGAGAGTCCATTTGCTCTGAGGTAAGGCAGGTATGTAACTAACATGTGGTGTAAGCGACATTATTTGGTTCTGTTGCGTGGCGTCTCTAGAGCAGTGTTGCCACTATTAAAGTTCCAACCCTTGTATAATGCCTTGTACAATAAATACCCTTTTCTTTACATTAACATGGAAACTGTCAGCTGTAAGAATTGTGTACATCTTTCTTAACCTGGCTTCTTTTAATGTACAGTATCTGTCTAGCAACTTCACTTGCAAGATTTTCTTCTGCTGTAATAACACCATTGAAATTTTTTCTGAGTCTGTGTACTCCAGCATTTACAAAGGGTTTTTAATAAACACTAGAATTAAAAATATGCATACACACCAAACATGCTGATCACATGATCTTGTTTAATGTTTGTG